GATGAACATAATTTGTTGGGGAAGAGTCAACACGGTTTTTGTAAAGGGAAATCATGCCTCACCACTCTGCTAGAATTCTTTGAGTGAACAGGCATGTGGACAAGGGGTGTCCGGTGGCTATAGTGTACTTAGATTTTCAGAAAGCCTTTGACAAGGTCCCTCACCAAAGGCTCTTAAGCAAAGTAAGCTGTCATGGGATAAGAGGGAAGGTCCTTTCATGGATTGGTAACTGGTTAAAAGATAGGAAACAAAGGGTAGGAATAAATGGTCAGTTTTCAGAATAGAGAGGGGTAAATAGTGGTGTTCCCCAGGGGTCTGTACTGGGACCAGTCCCATTCAACATATTCATAAATCATCTGGAAAAAGGGATAAACAGTGAGGTGGTAAAATTTGCAGATGATACTAAACTACTCAAGATAGTTAAGTCCCAGGTAGACTGCAAAGAGCTACAAAAGTATCTCACAAAACTGGGTGACTGGGCAACAAAATGGCAGATGAAATTCAATGTTGATAAATGCAAAGTAATGCACATTTGGAAAACATAATCCCAACTATACATCTAAAATGTTGGGGTCTAAATTAGCTGTTACCACTCAAGAAAGAGATCTTGGAGTCATTGTGGATAGTTCTCTGAAAACATCCACTCAACGTGCAGTGGCAGTCAAAAAAGTGAGCAGAATGTTGGGAGTCATTAAGAAAGGGATAGATAATAAGACAGAAAATATCATATTGCCTCTATATAAATCCATGGTACACTCACATCTTGAATACTGTGTGCAGATGTGGTCGCCCCATCTCAAAAAAGATATATTGGAATTGGAAAAGGTTCAGAAAAGAGCAACAAAAATGATTGGGGGTATGAAACAACTTCCGTATGAGGAGAGATTAATAAGATTGGGATTTTTCAGCTTGGAAAAGAGATGACTAAGGGGGGATATGGTAGAGGTCTATAAAATTATGACTGGTGTGGAGAAAGTAAATAAGGAAGTGTTATTTACTCCTTCTCAGAACACAAGAACTGGGGGTCACCAAATGAAATTAATAGGCAGCAGGTTTAAAACAAACAAAAGGAAGTATTTCTTCACACAATGCACAGTCAACCTGTGGAACCCCTTGCCAGAGGATGTTGTGAAAGCCAAGACTATAACAGGGTTCAAAAAAGAACTAGAAAAATTCATGGAGGATAGGTCCATCAATGGCTATTAGCCAAGATGGGCAGGGATGGTATCCCTAGCCTCTGTTTGCCAGAAGCTCGGAATGAGCGACAGGGAATGGATCACTTGATGATTACCAGTTCATTCCCTCTGGGGCACCTGGCATTTGCCACTGTCGGAAGACAGGATACTGGGCTAGATGGACCTTTGGTATGACCCAGTATGGCTGTTCTTATGTTCTCCTCCTTCACACTCTCTCTCTGTGAAATACGTTTACACATGTGTATACACATACAGTAAATTAAAATTGTTCATATTCAGAGACTAAACTGTTACATAACAATGTAGCATCTATATTGCTAATTTACAAACTGAGTCAGCCATTCATTTTTTTATATAAATGTGTGAAATCTGACACCATTTTGAAAATGTTCTAGTTAACTTTGATCATTTAACATGTTTCCACAACCATTCATGCCCCCATAAAAAAAAAAAAAGAGAGATTTAAAAAGCCATAAAAAATTAAAAATTTTCTGGAGACTGATTCAGGAAGTTTGGTGAAAGGAATTGTTTGACACCTTTGTTTAAAAATGATTAAAACATTAATTTTCAGAAACAGTTTGATATAATGCCTGGGGAAATACATTTTCACTTTTTATGCTGTGCTCATTAGAAAAACCTGCACATTTTTAGAGCTGTAACAGCCTGGAAATGGACATGATAATTAGAAGAAGGTCATATTTTAATTAGGATGGTGCAATTTTAATAAACAATGAATCAGTTGTAGCTCCTTTATATTCATCCATTCTTTAGTGAAAATTTTTAGAGCAGATGGAAATTTTTAGCATAAAAATTAGTATAAATTAAGATGATGTTTTTCCTGAAACTGTTGTCTGTTACTTCTTGTGCCTAAAACCCCTGGAGCTGTCAGTTTGATAATTCTATATGGGAAAAGTGGTGATGGGTGAAACATGATAAACTGAAAGGAATTCAAATCTAAATAACAGTAAGATTTATTTCTACATAGAGATTGTTTTCTATGTGATTTGGGCACCCAGTCCCTGTTAAAATTAATGGGTGTGCAGTACCCAATCAATGAGCTATTGGTGGAATCTCCTTGGTGACTTTGCCCTGGTCTACACTACAAACGTATGTCAGTCTAATGAAATTTATATAATCCACAGCCCTGAGCGATGTAGTTACACTGACCAAACTCCCGGTGCACAGAGTGCTATGTTGACCGGAGGGCTTATTGGGGATGAGGAGTACCTACGCTGATAGGAGATCTCCTATTGGCATAGGGCGCATCTTCACTACGCGCCAGAGCACTGCAGCTGCACTGCTGTAAGTGTATACAAGCCCTTAGAAAATCTAAGATGGACTCCTTTGTTTGCCTGTGTGATCAGCTTGATTTCTCACAGGTTTGGGTGGAATTTGATATTTGAGTAATTAGACAGTGAGCTTTTTGGGATAGGGGCTTTCCGTTACGATGTGTTCATACAATGCCTAAGACAATGGGGCCCTGATTTTGTTTGGGGCCTCTAAGAGTTACTGTAGCACAAATAAGTAAGATACTGAATCAGATCCTGTCTTCAGGAGCGGCCTGCACTGGATAATTCAGAAGGTGCAAAAAACCTTCCTCCTAACCTCTACTTTGGCTTAAGCCTCATGCTTAATATCCCTTCCAAAGTGGTTTAACATTAACTATTATAACTGTGGATATTCTTGTTTTCATATAAATAGCTAATGCCTTTCTGAATCTTGCTACGGTTTTGGCCTTAATGGCCTGATGTGGCAATAAGTTCCACAGTTTAATTGCACATTGTGTGAAGGAGTGTTTCCTTTTATCAGTTTTGAATTTGCTGCCTTTTAATTAATTTGAATGTCCCCTTCTGGTTTAAAGAGACAGGAAGAATAGAAGTTCCCAGTCTGACTTCTCCATACCATACACCATTTTATGTACTTCTAACATGTCCCCTCTTATTCATCTTCTTTTGAATGTAAACAGTCCCAATCTTTTCAGTCTTTCCTGGTGATGACCAGTGGCAAGTAATATATACATTCTCAGTTCTGCGAGAGTTCATCATACTGCGCCAGATTCTCTGGTGCACTAACACTGGAGCTATCTTGTGGACAAAAGGGAAAATTCCTCATCATATAGTTGCTGGAGACCGCATAGCTGCCTCCTCTGCCAGCTTCCCCACTGTAAAGGGGAGAAGAGGGAGGGGCCTGGAAGGGCGGAGCTCCACTGCTGCAGGGGGACTCCTGTAGCCTCAATTAGAGCAAGGCCCCTCCTGCTCTGGCTTAGGGTCAGGTGGCGCTGAATCAGGGAACTGAAGCCAATTTCACATGGCTGCTACTTTCCACAGCTCAGACATAAGAGAATCAGCGACAGTGTCTTCTGTTTCTTTTCATTTGGTCTCCATCTCCCTGCTGTGTTTTCCTCCCTCCCTGCTTGCTCCATTGCACATGCTCTTTTCCCACTTGATCCCCTTTCTCCTTCTCATCATCTCTACAAATGCCTCCTTGTTGCCTAATCCTCAGCTTCTACTGCATGTGCTTTCCTGATGCTTGGTCCCCATCTCTGCTCTTTGGAATTTCTCCCCAGCTGCTAGGTCTTTTTACCCTCTCCTACCCTGGAGGTACTGCCTCCCTGTTCCATTCCCAGAGGACAACTTAGCCCCGTCGTCAGGGCATTCACCTGTGATGTGGGAGACCCAGGTTCAAGTTCCTGCTCCCATTCCTGTAGAATTATTGATGCAAAGTGGAACAGCTCCAACAAGAGAGATTGAGAGCCTCCTCTCAGAATAGCCAGTAAGCCTGGTGGTCAGGGTACTCACCTGAAATGTGGGAAACTTGAGTTCAAGTCCCTACTCCAAAATTGGCAGAGCAGGGACTTGAAACTGAATTACCCATATCCCAGGTGAGTGCCCTGACCACCAGGCAATTGGCTGCTCTGGCATGGGTCCCTCTCTGTTTTGGATTCATCCCAGTGCTGAATGGGAAAAATGTTGAAAATCTCAAAATTCTTCACTGGCTGAGGAAACCATTTCCTGCCGAGCTCTTCTTAGCACATTGCTGAATTGGGGCCTTAGCAGCAATAAGACAGACTCCTCATCTCTGAAAAAGTTTAGACAGCTCTGGCAACAGAGAGGACAGACCAGCACCGTGTGAACAGTCAGCTCTCTGTTGGCATGTGCTCTCGGAGCCACCAGTTCCCAACCCACTGTTCTGATAACCTAGAGGTACCAGTTCGTGTAGCCAATGTGTTATTCTATTACACTATTAACAGTGTTGTCTAATGAGAATTATTGTCACGCTCTTGATTCTGCTCCAAGAAAATCCAGCCTGATCTGTCGAAACTAATACACATCAGTTTTTTCTGATATCAGAGTACATTTTGCTCTCATTAAAGTGATAATAGTGTTGCTATTGTGTAATAGCCCTTATTTGAACCAAACATAATGAAGGAAAACACTGCAAGCTTCCCCACAGAGCTCTGCCAAAGCACCTTAAGCTAGTTTTACCTTGCAGTTGTGAGAGGGTTGTGTTTTTCTTTCACTCTGTTTGGCTGTTTCACTTTGAGTATTTGCCTGGCTTTGAAATACTTGAAATCTGAACATTTCTCTCTCATGCACATTCACAGTACTTTCCACTGTGGACTGTTGAATGTTCCCCAGAAGATTTAAGCTTCTTAGGCTGGGCTTTGGCTTTGTTAGAGGACAATAGTGCCAGCTGCTCTGGCCCTTTCATTTGGAGGTTTTAAGGGGAAAGAGTTGGCTACAAGGAATGGTATACTTTAGTGTCCCCCTGTCTTGTTCACAGGTAACCTTTCCAGATTCACAGACAGAAGGGCCAGAGCTTGAAAAACCAGAGAATGTTCTGGTAGAGAGTGGACCGGTATCATATAACCATGATGAAGAAGTTGAAGAAGAAGAAATAGAAGAAGAGGATGATCACTGCATGAGTGCACTTCAGTTAATGGGAGGAAATGGTAAGTCTTGATTTTAGATAGTGGGACCTATTGACTGTGCACAGTTGTGAAAACACAGAAATTACCAGACCAAGTTCTGTTCTTTGTAAAGGGCTCTTTATTCCAGGGGTTCTCAAACTTCATTGCACCACGACCCCTTTCTGACAACAAAAATTACTACACGACCCCAGGAGTGGGGACCGAAGCCCACCCTGGGGCCAAAGCCATAGTCCAAGGTCTTCAGCCCCAGGCGAGGGGCCTGTAACCCTTAGCCCTGCCACCAAGGGCTGAAGTCCTCAGGCTTGGGCTTTGGCCCTGGGCCCCAGTAAGTCTAATGCCAGCCCTGGCGTTAGACCCACTTTGGGGTCCCGACCCACAGTTTGAGAATCGCAGCTTTATTTTTAAGGAGCTATTGGAGAAATAAAAAATATTAGCTATTTTTGAAAAAAAAAAAGGCCACAGAAGTGTTAGCTTGAGATACCAGATGAAATGTGAACACCCAAGTGGTGATGGATATGATTAGAACAGTGCTAATCGGTGTGATGCTGGACTGTGCAGGGCTGGTATGGAGATCCTTTCCACAGCGTGTCTGGGGCAGGGGTGAATAGGCATCCCTGCACAGCGTCTCGCCCATCCATCCCCTGCACAGCCCCTGGGTGCGGCTTAGGTGGTGCAGTGAGCCTGGCACAGGCCCCTCCTCCTCGCTGCTGGGGGCTTTAACTCCACATGCAGTATAATTCAGCATACATTTAAAAATGCTTTCTCCTCTTTACTAATGAAAAGATAACTTTAGCAAACAGCTAAACATAATGTCAGACACCGAGAGCAAGGCTTTGGCTCACGGTGATTCTTACTTCAGTAAATACATTTTTTTTTATTTGCTTTCAGTAAAAACTTGATATCCAAATTACATTTTTCTTTAACAGTTCTGGCTGGTGATCTGTGTCACCGCAGCGCTCTGGATGTGCAGATCCCTCTGCTCCGTCTCTTCACTCCTGCCCCCTAATTCCTCCCGTGCAGCAGTTCTCCTAGAGGCTCCTGTACTCCTACAGCAAGAAGCAGGATTTACCCCTTAATGCCACAGTGCAACTTCCTGGAGGGCTTCCCAGAATAAAATCCTGGGACCCTAGCTGTAGGATACTGGCTTGTCTACACCTGGGTTATTCCTGAATAGCTACTCCACTTTAAATTCACGTCCTGCCTTATTCTGGAATAACTCTCAGGTGTAGTAGACAAGCCCTAAGAACTTGGTGCTCCAGCTCAGTATTAGATGAGTCTTCAAACATCATCTCTGGGTTAAATGTCATGAGAAGTGAGGACTTTACCAAACATATTGTGATACGGGAATCACAGCCAGTGTATTCTACTCACTAAACCACATGTGTATTAAGGTCTATGGGCAGGATTCACAAAGAGGACTTAGGCTGAGCATCTAGTGCCTATGTTTACGTGTCCTGCTACCAAGTGGAATTCTCGACCCAGAGTTAGGCACCTAGGCTCCCTGTATGATGCACAGGGACAGTGAGGGGCCTAAAAAAGGGGCGTCACAGAATCCAGCACCTTGAGCAGGGAGCTCTCTAAGCTAGCCAGCAGGAAATGCTGATGAGAAGGATGGGGCCTAAGCCAGAGGTGGGCAAACTACGGCCCGCGGGACCGTCCTGCCCGGCCCCTGAGCTCCTGGCCAGGGAGGCTAGCCCCTGGTCCCTCCCCTGCTGTCCCTCCTCCCCCATAGCCACGCAGGCAGTGCTCTGGGTGGCGGGGCTGCGCGCTCATGCAGGGCAGTGCAGCAGCATGTCTGGCTCCAGCCAGGAGGTGCGGCTCCAGACATGCTGCTCTGAGCGGCATGGTAAGGGGGCTGGGGCCGGGGGGTTGGATATGGGGCAGGGAGTCCTGGGGGGCAGTCAGGGGACAGGGAGCAGGGGGCAGTTGGATGGGGCAGAGGTTCGGGAAGGTGCGGGGGGGAACGGGGGATTGGATAGAAGGTGGGGTCCTGGGGGCGGTTAGGGGCAGGGGTCCCAGGAGGGGGCGGTCAGGGGACAAGGAGCGGGGGGGGTTGGATGGGTCAGGGGTTTTGAGGTGGGCAGTCAGGGGGCGGGAAGTAGGAGGGGGGCGGCTAGGGGGCGGGGGCCAGGCTGTTTGGCGAGGCACAGCCTTCCCTACCCGGCCCTCCGTACAGTTTCGCACCCCGATGTGGCCCTCGAGCCAAAAAGTTTGCCCACCCCTGGCCTAAGCCCTGCCCCTCAAAGGGAGATGGACGCCTACCTCCACTCCGGATTCACAGCCGTGAACCCTGGCCTGGAGTTACGGACGCGTAAACTAGGTTAGTCCTTTCTTCAAGAAAAAATGATGAGGATGTGATGTTGCTTATTACCCACGATAGCCTCATGTTAGAGCATGGACCCGAGATGTGGAAAACCTGTGTTCAGATCCCCACGCTGCCTTATTTGGAACAGGGACTTGAACATGGGTTTCCTACATCCCAGGTGTTTGCCCCAACCACTAGGTTATGAGATATTCTGGAGTGGGTGTGTCTCAATCTCAAGCTGTTCCACTTTGTATAAATAATTATATATTCATTGTGCCAGAGAAGGTGTGTGTGTGGCTCTATAAACCAGTGGTTAGGGCACTAACCTGGGAGGTGCGAAACCTGCATTCAGGTCCCTGCTCCACATCAGGCAGGGTGGGGATTTGAACCTGCGTCTCCCACATGCTGCGTGAGTGCTGTAACTGCTGGGTTATTACATAAAAGGGGAGGGCAGGGCATCACCACCGACTTCTCTGGCTATGGTTTGCATGGGGCCCAAGCTGGTAGATGTGCTCCAAGGCAGCCTCTGAGCACATCTACCAAGCTGGCCCTGCAACATAAGTGGTGAACGCCTAGTTTGTGAATCCTGCTGGAGCTTAGGCACCAAGTTGCTCAGTAGTGTCAAGAATGAGGTGGCTGTGTGCATGCAGAAATGTAGGTGTCTAGGGGATTTAACCAGTGGAAACCTAGGCCCCTACAGGGTGAGGCAGCAGCTTGAGCCGGGTTTTTGAGAATGTAAATATTGGACTTGCATGCCTAAATGGCAGTTAGGTGCCTAAACCCCCCTTGTGACTCCCAACTTTTATGTTAACCAGAAGCCATCATTTAAGCAGGTTTCTGTATTGACAGGAAACATTGATACCCTCTCTGCAGTGGTATTTCATAGTTGGACATGGCTGGATTGATCCTTTATTTGAAACTTCCTGTTAAATTTTAAACTTCGGCTGTATGCAAAAATTATCTTAAAATAGATTGATGCAATATGCTAAAGCAAAGTGGGAAGAAGGTTTGTGCTGGAGCGTTGATTTATTGTTCAAGCCTCCCCATCACTATTAATTCAGCTGCAGACTTTGATGAAGCTTTTTTGTAATATCTGTGGATTGATCATAAAGGAATGTGTTGTTTTTAGATTGATTTCTGACTGGAAAATAATTTCTGAACCAAAGGAAAAACACTTTGTCACTAGTGTTTATTATTAGGATTATGTTCCCAAGAAAGTGCACTCACGTGGGTGGGTGGATCCGTGTTTAAAAATAGTAGTAATAAAGCCCGCAAAGTAGTTGAAAGGTCACTGAGCTTTTTTTTCCTTTGTGTTACTATTTTTAAACCATTCTGAGAACATTGCACTACCCTCTGTCTGGTTCTGTACTGCAGCTGAAAGAGCTGAGTATTTGTATTATTAAGAAAAATAAGTTAGGAATGTTGCCAGAATTAAAATTGAGGTGTTCAGAATGGACTGTCAGCAAAAGAACTGCTTTGTTTGTCTACTCGTGGGTCTTAGACCTCCCTGATAAATGGAGGGGAACTGCAGGAGATTCAGGTGATGAACTTCGCCCTTTCTGTACAAATCACCGTGGATTACATTTGTTTCTTCTGCAGAGCATTCACTGGCTTGTCCCTGCATGAAACCCTGCACCACGTCTCCCCACATTGATGGTGGAATATAAAGAATAAATTTACTAAACAGTCACATATAATAGTAAAAGTTAGGGTCCATTTTGCAACAAACAGATTTTTGTCTGGTTAATTTGTGAAATATGCAGAAAAGAAATTGGTATATCCCAAAGCACGTACAAACTTTTTGTTTTTTCCCTAGACCTCAGCAATCCACACTGCTCTGAAATAGCTGTACACAGAAAGGATTCTGGGTAATGATTGGTAAAGAGACACAACTGGCCATTTAGGGTATGTCTACACTGCAGTTAAGACACCTGCAGCTGACTTGGGTTCGGGCTGCTGGGCTATTTAATTGTGGTGTAGACGTTCTGGCTCAGGCTGCAACCTGAGCTGTGCAACCCTCCCATCTCACAGGGTCCTAGAGCCTGGGCGCCAGCCGAAGCCCAGAAGTCTACACTGCAATTTAACATCCCCATTGCCCCTGCCTTGTGAGCCTGAGTCAGCTGACATGGGCCTGCCATAGGTTTTAATTCCAGTGTAGACATACACTTAGAGTTTCTGCTTGTAATGGTACTGGATTCGGGATTTCTGAAGCCAGATGTCTTAGTTGAAGTTCATTGTTGGGTGACATTTTGCTTCTTGGGAATCTTCGGGCACAGAAGGGTGTTCTGGAGCTGCCTTTGAGCCTGGGTAGGTTCCGTTTACAAATCCTGGAATGATTTAAACAAATACTTTTTTTTCTTGGCGCTCATGTTTAGTTAATCATACCCCCTTGTAATGCCCGTTGCTATTTATCTACCATGTTCCAATTTACTTTTGACAATCAAGTTTGATCTTGTTTGCCTCTAAACTAAACTGAATATTTCGCATGTCCATGTGCCAAGTCTCCTTGAAATTAGGGTCCTAAGGCTCCATATAGAGCCTTTCTTAATAAGTGCAGTGATAAACGTATACATGTAGGTTCACAAGTATTTTTGAGTTCATTAAGGAGAACATAAAGGCAGATTTTCTCCTTAGTCTTAAGAAAATGTATGGGTTTGTTGTTTGGTTATTAAAAACGTACCAACTCGTTACGCAGCACACAGACTGCTTGAATTTATAGTTTGACAGCTGTAATATTTTCATTGCACTTTTCTTATTCTCTGGAACATTTTCTTTTCTATAAACCTTTTTCTCTATATGTTTCAGATTACGGCTGTGATATGGACGATGACGACGGTTATTAGTCCTGTTTGCTTCCAAAGGAGATGTAGTAATTTTGTGATTCCAATGACTTTATGAATGGTGAAAGAAGCTGTCTGTGATCAGCAGACATAGCTGAACAATCCTGACTTTTGTAAAGAGAATTTTAGTTGAGTGTTGATTCTGGTCAGTTTACATTGACCTATAACCCAGCAATAAAGTTTGGGTTTATCGTACTTGAAATTTTTTTTGGATCATGTTTTGAGGAAGGAATTAATGGAAGTAATGTTTCCAAAGAACAAAGAAAAATAGAAAAATAGCCTGTATGCAGATTATGTTGTGGTTAGAAACTACATGTCTCATATTTGATCCTGCTTCAGGCATACTACTGAAAAGGAATGTATAGAAGAGGAATAAATTATAAAGTAAGTAAAACCTCCACATAAATCTTTGAACTATACCAGGGTTAATTCTCTCATAATGCTATAATGAGAAAAATGGATAATCTAATCTTTATTATTAATGTGACTCTGCCATTGCATACAAGCTTCCCTACTTGATACTCTCCCAAAAGTAAATAAATTAAGGAAAAAGATAGAATTCTATGGCAGTATCTCTTTAAATCAAATTAATCCTCAGAAGCTAAATAGGTGCTTACGTACATTAATAATAGAATTGCGTGTTCCTCAAGAGATGCTGACAGTAGAAGAGAACATTGTCACAGAAGGGTGGTTTCTACTGTTCTGTAAATGCTGAAGAAGTATTTGTGGAAAAAAGTGGTTAGATAAAGGCAAAGCATCTATGGGGAAAGCAGGAGACACTGCTTTGGCCAAGTTCATTGCAGTGACTATATTTGACTATACTGCTGTGGTCTGATGGTGGAGGTGGGTGCAGTAGGGTGACTATTGCTACCGTTACTGACCTGCTGCATTCTGGCTGGGTTTGGGAACAGACCTGCTCTGTGATGCAGCCACACAAAGAACAGCCTGTCTCTAAAGGTCTAGGGTTTTTAAATAAAAAAGAGAAGAAAAAAAGCTGAGCTTTTTGGACAAATAAGCTAGTTTGTGGTTTGACTGAAGTTTAATTTAATTTATTTAACTTTTTTATTGGTAAATTAAAGGTCACCCATTGGGCAACCTGATTGGCTCAGCTTGACTTTCATTTTGTACAGTAACTAACAGTGTTATTGCCAGGACTTAGGCCTCTGAGATCCTACACTTCAATGCACTAGTCTTTCTGATCCCAAACTCAATAGAACAACTCATCTGAATTCTAGCTCTGTGGGTTAAAATCAGGCCTGGTGTTGGCAGATTTAGCTCCATTGACTCTTACCTCCCTCTGCCCCCACCTTTAGGGCCTGATCCAAAGCTCACTGAAGTCTGTGGAAAGACTCCAGTGGACATTAATATGCTTTGGATCAAAACCTTAATGATGTTGGGCGCCACAGGAGTTCTGACATTTTCGTCTTTCTCACCTGGCTGTTGATGGTCAAGGAAGCTGCACCATCTGCCAGAACCAGCCCAGCTGAGGGAAGGTTAGTTACACATCTCTTAGCAAAACAGGCTTCCCTGAGCGGGGCTGCTACAGGTCAGAGTCTGAATCTACTCTCTACTCACACTGGTGAGGAGCACCCCATTTATTATTAGGCAGAGAACTCATCACAGAAACACCATCCTGTTCTTCCCTCAGCTCTGACTGGGGAGCTGAAAAAATGTGCCTCACACACAGAAAGGGAAGTTGGATATTGGTGCTTCTCCCAGGAGCCCGGGGAGAAGGAGATTGGGCAGCTCCTTTGATCACCACCAGCTGGGCTGACAGAGAAGGAAACGGTGCTGTCCAGACTTCCAGAGACATTAAGAGGGCAGAGGCACTTGACCTTCCCTTCCGACAGCCAGTAAAGGGGGGTGAAGGGAGAGGAGCGGTAAGATGAGCAGCAGGTCCTTGACCCACACAAGGCTTCATTGGGACACAATTTTAATATTGGCTTGACTAGTCAGTGTAATGCGTTGGCTAGTATGTGTCTGCTAGATATTTTTGAGCCATGTTTCTGCAATGGCTATGAGACTGCATGTGCTGTTGCAGAGTTTGGGTAACAAAATGAATTGTCAGGCATGTAGAAAGCCAAAACCCTTTTTGAAGCAGGCTTTGGATTACTTGTCTGTAGAGTTTGGGCTTTGGAAAGATTTTGGGGGTTGGAAAGAGGAGATTTAGTGTAATTCTTACGGGAAAAGTTGGTACTCTATAAGAAAAGCTACAGATGTTTTCTGGCTGCTTTGGTAGCTACACAAATGCTGCTCTGAGAATTAAATTATGGAGTTAAACTTTCTATCTGCACCAGCATGCAAAATCATGCTGTTATATAATAATTTTAAAAATACCAACCAGGTGCATTATGCCTCTGCAAATCTATGGTATAACCTACCTAGGCCAGTTAGGTTGAATTTGAATATTGCAGCACTCTGCCCAAGAGCAGTATTGTAAGTACCCATGTTCCCAGTATATTCTCAAAATCTGGATTTTACTCTAAGGTACAAATTATTTTATACACAGGAAATAAACATGCATATTGACTCCTGGAGGGTAGAATACCCTCCTGTCTCAAAGGTGTAGTGTCGGCTCTTGAAGAAGCCACTAAGATGAATTCTTTATTGCTGAGATTCTCTCTCACATTTTTCGGTGTAGATTTTCATAGTTTTTTTTACCCCACCCAGCGGAATACTAAACCAGCTGCCAGGGCCGTGTCTTATTAGACTGGGGATCTGGGGCACACAGTGGAGTCCACTGCACTCGAAACAGACAAATAGGAAATGATAATTTCAGTAATGGGTTGGATTTCTGGAAGCTGTGTTTTCCAAACTGGAGGCAAGGGGTCCTTCTCCATTTAGGAGGGGAAAATACTTGCAGGGGTTTTGAGTGCTCTCATAAGATTCAATCAGAACATGCTATCTCACAGTTTACCTTAAAGGCACTTAGAGAGGACAAAAAGACCAACAGTTCCGTAGCATCCCAGCACTGCTAGTGAATTTAATTCTATATGCCCTTGTATAGGAGCCTAAATGAAAAGGGAAGGGCCGTGGTGTCAAATAGGGAGAATATAAAGCTTTTCAAACCAGTTGCATACATTTTTAATTTGCTGGTGACTAGCTGGGATTTTTGTAATTTTCCTTCCTTTGTGATTTAACTAAGCTCAGGAAATGTAAACAGATTAGAAGATGTTAGTTTCTGTTTTTATAACCACTTATGAAAATGTTAAAAGGTTAACGTAGCATTAACTTTGTTTACTACTGTTAATGTATCATAGTGACCTTGCAGAAAATGTTTTGCTGTATTGTAGCCTGGATTCCCTTGGAGTAATTTGGACCCTGCTTTATTCAGGATTCTAATTATAATGAAGAGAGATTATAAGGCTTCAGCATTTGTTGTTCTTAGATCTTTGTACTAGAACCCACGTGAGCTACATATCTGTATAAAGCATAAATGTCTCTTGCTGCAAGTCACTTTATTTGACAGGCAAAACCCTCCAGCTGTTGCATTGTGTTTGTCTGCCATGAAGCCTCTTCAACACACACTACTATTGTGGGAATAAAATATGAAAGAGGAATAATGAAAGTAACAAGATCGTTCACCATGATAATTGCATTTTCTGTGTCTTAATCTTGTATGACGTTCTTTTAAAGTCACTACGTTCAATACAGCAGATCTTAAATGGTGCCAGACAGCCTTATGTTGTGGGTTACATGTTCATCTAAAAAGTTCTTACCATACTGATGGCTTGTCTGTATTCTCTTTGGATTGTATTGAAACTCTCATCCACAGATGTATGCTGTTAATGTGTCCTTTGCCCAATAAGTGTAGTACTTTTTATTTTTGTATTGAGTCTACACATTTGATTCAGTTAGTGCCAAGAGAATTACAACTGTTCAATGTAAGCATATGTATCTTCTTTACACAACCACAATATGAGCCATGTTCAGCTTTTTTATTGTAATATATTTGCTGTAAATAAATCCAAAAAAACCCCTTGCATATCACATCTTTTATGATGCATTCGTGCAAATTTCTGATTCCTTCATCTCTCGATTCTTATGAATGTTTGCTTTTGATTGCTTTTTTGTGTGATTGGTTGTAGTGGACAAAATCTGTAATTTAGAGCCTTCTTTTGTTTCTAAAATGGAGAGCATTTCTAATCAGGCAAATGTGTTTTAGATAGTATTGTTCCACTGATTATCTATAAGTGTAGATAGCTTCTGTAAACTGCATAATATTAACAAGAACTTTCTATTAAATCATGTAATTTTAGTGCAAATAGGAACAATATGGTATGTTTGCTCAATAGGAGTGTTGTTCTGATGCTCATTTTTGAAGAGTTGTATCTTGACAAACAAGATGTGCATTGACTTCAAAAATCATTCTATTGTATCAACATCTGGATACCAGAGTTTGGGGGTAAAATCCACATCTACTCTCCTACTCTTATTTGCTGAGTTTAGAATGTAGAGGCTCAGGTTGGACCCAGAGGAACATTTGCTACTGAGGTAGAGTGAAACGTATTAAGGTGCCTAGTAATATGAAAAGCAATGCTTTAAAAGTGCATTAAGCACACATTGTCTCATTCCAAAATGAGCAAACATGCCTATAGTGAATTAGATGCAAGGGGCTTTTACACACTGGTTACTGCAGAGTCCAGTATACTGCTATGCTCCAGCAACTTGCTCTAGGTGAACTTCACCTTCCACATTTGCAAAACCTTTTTTTATATAGGTTACTTCTCAGCTGGAACAACTTTCTCCCAGCAGTAAAAGTTGGTTCCTCTGGTGAGTAACCCCTCTTCATTTCCTGTCATTAACTTTCTTTTGCCATTCTCATGAAATTTAAGCTCCTTTTTCTTGCCATGGGAACCTGTACAACTGAGCTCCTGCAAAACTCTGCTCACTTTTGCTCACTTTTCTACTTTCCCCAAGCTGCACAGTTTACCAGTGTTGGTGTTGTCCAATTCTTGCCTCTAGGCCTACTTCCCTAGAATCCTCCCTATCTTTTCCACTAGGTTCCTCCTTAATACATCTCCTCCAAAAGGTCTGCAAACTGCTTCCGCCTCTCTCCCCCCCCCGCCCCGCCCAGCATGCAAAGTATAGCAAATGCAAACAACAAATATGGATTTAAAACTGCAAATGCTCAACTTCACAATAATCACATTACATCCATTCCTTCTGTACATGGTCTGTTTAGGTTGTAAGGTCTTGTCTTTAAAATATGATAATGTTTACAAGCTCTTCTCCCTACATCTCCTAAATTAGAGGGTATTTCCCATTCCTGTTACTTAAAACAAAATCCCGCAAATGGGTAAAAAAAAGTCTTTCTCCCATCAGGAGTTCTAACCTCTGCTGAGTTCTTTGCAAGCTTTTATAAAACTTTGAGTTGCAGCTGTGAGGCCACTGAACATTTGCTTATAGTTTCATGTATTTTAAGGACAGAATGGACCATTATGAGCATCTAATTTGACCTCCTGTATAACAGAGGCCATACAATTTCACCCAGAAATTCCTTCATTAGGCCCAACATCTTGCTTTCCTTACAGAGCATCACTGGAAACAGTGCTCCTTGTCAAGCAATAACTAGTATTGCCAAATCCAAACATTCACAAACCATGAACGAGCTCCTCCCCACCAAAAAATCATGAGATTAGCTTAAAAACCATAAGACTCAAAAATAAATTGGGAGTGAGTTTATTTGCCTTCTGATTTTTTCTAAGCTTCTTAGGTTTCATATTTTCAAGCTTTTTTTCTGCAGTCAAGAGGGGCTAGAAACTTTTTTTAATAAAAATGAAAGTTGAGATTCTCATCTAATCA